AAAGTGATCACTTTGCGTGTTTTCATAAACCCAAGGCGTTAACTGAAATAGAATAGAAATTGGGGCACAATTTAGTGGATTTGCAAACGATCTACTCTTGAATAACGGGCTGGCGCGTATGTATTTACCCATGCTCTAGCGAAAGATCTTACTTTCATATTTGTACATTTGGGGAGTGTTGGCTCTAGCGGAAGATCTTACTTTCATATTTGTTCATTTGGAATTTTGTAGAGGTACTGCAGTTGATCTTGCCTCTCGTCGAAGGCCGTGTTGCAACAGTACCACTGCCTTGCTGTTGAGCTCTATTGGACTAATTACGCTTGTGCCTTTGCTGTGCTCTCCCGCCGTGCGCTTGTAGTGGGCACATTGTCGCGTTGTGCATGACGCCCCGCTGCTGGGTAATTTGCTGATAGCATTGTGTTGCCAATATTTGCACAACCTTTAAACGCTGCATAGGTAAGATTTGGTCTGCAGCTACAGCGCAACAGCTCACAGCGCGTAGCCAGATTCTGTAACAAAGGTCATCTTTGCAGCTTCGAGATCGGTCAAAAAGTTGACATTCTGTATTGCACGATTTCTCGAAGTAAGTCTTAGCCTTCGGCCCTTCTTTTCAAGGGCCTTCTTTTCAAAGACGCTCATAACTCGACGAGCTGAAGGCTCCCACGAGCCCGCTTTTATCGGGTTTCTTATCAGCTCCTCCAAGCTCTCCCACGTCATGGCCTTCGAATATCGACGAACATACAATGGGAAAAGTCAAATTCTACGCGTTCAACGAGCAGGTCACGTTTTACCGCGTTGTTGGCCACCTTTGCAAAGTTCAAGCACCTCCAAGTTTCAAGGGGTCTCTAATGCGAGTCTGAGTGCACCCCTCTTCTATCTGAGAAAATGCTAATTTTTCAGCCCTTCTCACTCTCGTCGGACTACTCTTTTGGTTACGAGAGGAAGGTAAGAGGTTCACCCCAACAGTTGGGGAAGCTCTGCCAAAACTTAAGCAAGGTTCTGGAGGCAGAGAACTTACATGTAGAACTTTTTCTGTGTGAACCCACTTCTTTTCCTTTGTGTGAACCCACAAAACCTCTATCGCTACTTCTCTATGTTTGAATGCTATTTGTGCATGCATCCCGTAAGAATCTTTGTTTCTATTTCTGGATTGAACTCGTATTAAGCGAAGGCGTTACATGTTATGTGCATGCATCCCGTACGAATCTTTGTTTTTCTTTCTGGATTGAACTGATATAAAACTGTATTCTATTAAAATTTACCAATTTAATTAATAATTATAGCCTTTATAGGAGAAAATGGATTTGAATCAGCTACTTCTAAAATAAAAATCATTCTTTTTTTCTTGCCAATATTATTATTATTATTATTATTATTTTTGGAAGATAGTAACTATTTAAGTTCATTTTCTTCAAACAACAAAGGGTGAATTTGGGAAAGATGGGAGGAAGGTGGTTTTGTTTGCATTTGGATGCGTCTTAAAAAAGCAGACATTGTCTCTAATAACAACGACTGAGTTATTGTTACGATAAACATTATAAAGACCATATTGCATATCGTTTGTTAAACATCATTTCCACACCTCATGCGACTTGCACAAACAAGGACAAAGGTGTTTCCTACGACAACCTCCTAACGTCCTCATCGCTATAAGCGATTGATCTTGATACACAAACAAACTCATCTTTTGACTAATGGATAGCCATATCCGTATAACTTGGGACTCCCCAGAAGGCCTAGTATTGTAATCTTCTGACATCCCTTCAACAAGCAGGAGTTTAACCTGAACCTCCCGGGACAACGCACAGGCTTTCGATTGACGAACTGAGGGTAGATAATCTGAGAGAGCAGTAATGGAATGTCCTCGCATCAAGGGAGAGTGTGGATACCTGATGTAGGCAGTGTGATGATCCGTGGCGTGCGCCCGGTCGACTGATCCATGGTGGATCGACGGTAATATGTCAACTCGTCTTTGACTAGACTTCAGCTTGGGTAGGTTTTGAATTGCATGAAGTGACGTACTTGCACCATTCGTTTAGTTATGTGCAAGTGTGTTGCTTGAAATGCTTGAGTGGTTGTGGGTTTGATCTGCTTGTGGAGTGAGCTACGATTCACTGTTTGCAATGTTGAGCCGCTTATGGAGTGTGCTACTTGCAATGCTAGAGTCACTTGCGGGTTTGAGATGTTTATGGAGTGGGCAACTTGTAATATTTTGTGTTATATACAAGTCTGAGCTCTGCTTATAGAGAGCCAGTTGCAAATGCTGCAAGTTTGAATGTTGCAGCAAACTGGGAGGGGCAGTATAAGAGATCCTTCCCCATCGACCGACGTGGGCCAACGACCTAAGGTTCGACAAGCCAATCTGCACCAACTCCATACAAGGGCGCTACCCTTCCTCCACAATGACACCCTCAGAGAGTGGTTCTGCCTTAGGGAATGACCCTCTACAACCCCTGGCCACTAGCTCACCACCTGCGATTGACAGTAAAATACCCCAGTGTACATAGTCTGCCTTAGCTCCCTAGTCCCATAGTGACGCCCTCTAGAGCTCCAGAGGGGTCCCCTCCCAACTACACCCCTCGTCACTACCCTACTTCCCCCAGGGTAGGACACCCAACCAAGGTACTCCCCTCCTAGAGCAATCCCTTCCAAGGAAAAGACCCATTGAGCACTACTCCCCTCAAAACTCATCTATAGCACCATTACTCCCAGTACCATCCTCTTGGTTTTGACTTTTGTTTTCGAACTCGCAACGAAGTTGCCTTGACTGGTGCCCCTCTTATGATTCACAAATGGATTGCTTTATTTTTCTGTGCTTTTTATGTTTAACCTCCAATCCTTTCTTCGAATTTTCTCTTGGAAATGGGTTTGTTACTATGCATGCATTATGTTCATCGCTAAGCAAAGCCGTCTTCTTTTTTTCCTTTTTTTCTCTCATTGTTTATGCATGGCCATTCAAGCAAAAGCCAACAAGTGCACCACCGACTCACCAATACCTTTACTTGAGATATCGACGTACTCACACTACAGTCTGCCCCCGAACAAAACGCACTCGCATACTATTCAACTTTCTACGGAAAAGTCGATTTCTCAAAGTCCCCCGGGAAATCAAAATAATACGCATGTTGTAGTACACGTATGTTGTATTTGATCAGTATCAAAATAATACGCATGTTGTAGTACACGTATGTTGTATTTGATCAGTGCACACGTATGTTCTATTCAAGTAGTACACACGTACGTTCTTTTCGAACAAATGCGTGTACTACTCGAACGGAACACACAAATGGCATCTCTCTCTCTCTCTTGCTCTCTCGTTCTCTCTCTCTCACACACACACACCCACAACTGCCCTATCGCGCCCACCTCATCCCACCTGCTCTCCCACACCCTCTCCCTTATGATCGCCCTCTCACTCCCTCCGAATTGCTCCCGCCCTGCTTCTTGACAGGCAACGTATTTTCCTTTTTCCGTCTCACATTCAGACTTTCTCGATTTATGCATTCCATTCTTGCACAGAGGCCATGCTAATTTCGAAGGACAGATACTCTTTTTTTGGGCCCCATATTTGAAAGCTGGTACCCCGAATCAGTATCATACTGAACGTGCCTTATATTCAAAATAGAACGCACCCCGTACATTCTATTCATAACGCTTACAAACGCGCATTTTGTATCTGAAATCATTACAAATCATTTACACCCAGACCAGGACGTATCTGACCGCATTTACATCCTTCCGTATGCAAAAATATTATTGCATTGCCACGACTTCCCCTTCGGTGAGAAGTCGTCAACTTTGAAGACTCCGCTTCCTCTGGAGTTTCATAGTCGGCGGCCGACCCTCACCTGACCATTGTCCACCCTCACCACCCACAATGTCACATAGTCATAGTCAGTTTCCTCTATCAAACAATTAACCGTAACATCTGGGAGAGCCTCATCCATTCCCCTGCGCACATTATGAAGCCACATCCGACTTGCCTTGACATGTCAACCACGTCTGCGCACATTATGAAGCAGACCCCTATGAAACAACCCCCACATACCAGACAAGCAAGCACAACAATCACCTATGAAGCAGAGAGCCAAAAAGGATGCCGAAGAGACGAGATCTCCCCCAAATGCACGCGGTTTTCATCGACGCTGGGTACTGGTCGGCGTCAACGACACAAGACGTCTGTCCCAACGGCATTCTTTCTTCCAGCCAAGAATAAAAGCAACATCACTATCATGTGCACAGGCGAAGGGGAAGATGGATGTTACATGCTTTCGTCTTCATTAAAAAAGCGTTTGAACCATTTCTCAATTTACGTGTCATTCTTTTTCGCAGTTCATGGGCTCCGTTAATCTTCTGTTAATCGTTCAAGTTTTCACCGATATCTCATACTACTATGTTGAAATCTGCACATTTCGGTTGTCGGGGGAGGAAGCAGAAATAGTGATCCCACGAGCACCGTAGCCCATGGAGTCTTAGAGCATTCATCCAATCTACCTTTCTCACTATTTTACCATTGGATTGCGCCCTTGCAACCAGTCAGACAACCTGCCCTCTCCCAAACCCCCCAAAAACGTTAGCACAGCCCAAAGAGTTGCAAGACAATTCCGTGGGCGCCGGGCAAGCTTCACAGGTGACTGAAAACCCGTCGATTATAGCTGTGCTGGCTGCTGCCCACCAACCCCATGTTCTATTTTATGGGGGTCCTCCAGCACGACTCAAAACCCCTCGTCAAGGAGAGAGGCACAAGTCTCGAGTACAACTCTTGTCGCCACAGGGCCCACAGCTGCCCCCGAATTCAGTCAAAAGACGGCATCATATGAGAACGACCCCCCCATAGGAAGAACAGAGAAGGCTGTTTCCAACCCGGATTAAAAAAATAATAAGAAGACAATTAAAAATAAAATAAAAAAAGAGAGAATGCTTTGTGAAAACAAGTCGCAAACGACAAGACAACGAGAACCAATATGGAACAAGCACGCTCGAACAAGGTTCAGGGAAGCGCAGGGTCAAACGTAAAGACAGGAAACGTCACACCTTCCACCCAGTCTTACTGATAACCATCAAAAATGGCTTGAAGAACCAAAACATATTCAGAATATCTTCTCAGAAAATTGAAGCAAAAAATATTTAAAAAAAAAGATGTGCAGATTTGCTCATTCGTATGTAATAAATCAGAGTCAATCCGACAAAATGAATGAAAGCCCTAGACTAGCAATCCGCAGTTAGTACTCGTAGTCCGATTTATACTACGCAGTACACAGTTGGGTCTGCCAACCGTCAGGATGGAAATTGGACGGTCACCGGGACAAGTGGAAAGCACACACGCAACTCCTATGATGCTGTGTGACCAGACCCACACGATAACAATATAAGCAGCAAAGGTGACCCTCCTGGCGATCCCCCGCTCCACGCTCAACTCCAGCCAAATTGCATTCTGTCGGCGGGCCGAGCAAACTCACCACGTAATATGCTTCCCACGCATATGCCAGCCACCTCGCTTTCCTGCTCACAGATAAATCTTCTCACAAACCACAGGGCTTTCAAGACTCCTCATCGATCACCTGCTCCTGATTCTTCAGCCGACAGCTTTACCTCCTGATCAGCTTGACTGGAGTTCAATACCTATTCCCCTTTCCCCAGTGCAACCGACCCGCCGCTTCCCATTCAAGCCAATCAACCAAAAGCCAGCCGCTCTCACTCTCTCTTTCTCTCTCTCTCTCTCTTCCCCCTCGCTTACTCGCCAGCCTATGAGCAATTGCCAAACGACACGTTGCTTCCTGATCCCTCTGCATTATCACATTGACACTATTCCCGTGCCGAACCTGTCGAACGCCCAGATGAGAACAAACTACATGTCCAATCAACAGGCAGGACTCAAATATCAGCCGAGGAGATGCAAGCAATAGGACGCGAGGAAGACGCCTTTTTGAGGAGGGGCTGGGGTAAGAAGGTGGGGGGGGGGGCGTGCTTTGGGGAGAACGGACGGAGGGCGTAGAGAAGATAGGGGTGGGGGGGGGGGACGGGGTGGAAGGGGGATGGGGTGTGTGTGTGGGGTGTGGGGGTGGGGTGGGGGGGAAACACAAATTATGCTGTGTTCACAATCGAATCGCCAGTTCACCACTGTGAGAAAGATCGACTGATCAAAGCTCGTCATGCCCAAAAGTAAGAGATACCGAAAAAATACTCTTCCTCGGGCCAACTAGTGTAGAAAGATATTTGGATTGGATTGCCTCAAATCCCAACTCAAGGATCCAGATCTCAGAAGAACAGAACGCCTGCTCCAAAAATCAGGGAAAATTTTCAAGCAAAGCACCACAAGGCTCAACGATACCAATACTACACAACAACACAGCTGGGCTGGAGTCTAGCCCTGCTCCGCATTTCGTCGATCAGGGAACCAATAACTGTGAATGCAGTAGAGCTGAGTTGCGTAACACTATCCGATAAGGACTAATCGTCTCGTCTTCTTAACTTATTCGCCTTCAAGATGAATTTCATACTACTTATGCACAAAACCACCTTATCCTCCTGACATACCCTCCTCACCAAACACAGTCAACAAAAAATTTCTTCACCCTATGGACCCCCGGAAGATGTCCAACCTTTACCTCTTACGATCCTTCCCCCGCCCTTGGCCCGCTTCTTTCCTCTCCCCTTCTCCAATCACCCCCAAACTTCACCCTCCCTTTCCCCTCCTCCCTCCCCCCGCCCCCCCTCCCCCAAACTCTCAATCAATCAACGAAATCGATTACCCATCGATCCCTCTTTCTCTCTCTCTCACACACACACGCACACAATCTGTCTGCGCAACACACTGCTGCAGTGTGAACTGATCAACGCGCTCATCTTGCAACTTCCTCCTGCTTTTTGTGGCACACCAGCCACAATGTCAGGATAAGGGCCTTGAAATAAATCGGGGCCGACATTCTAAACACCCCACACTACCGTCCAAAACATTTCGTATTTACTTTTGCCCCTGCCTACTACGCGTTAACCTCCTCGCAAGCCACAACAGAATACAACCAGCTATCACTTCTCCTTCCATTCCACACCTGCGCCACACAGCCCTTCACCACCGAATGTTCTCTCTCTCTCTCTCTCTCTCTCTCTCTCTCTCTCTTGCATTTCCTTCCCCTCACTTACCATTACCTGCAACTGTCCGCCCGTCTTGCATTCTTCTCTGCGCCGTTGCTAATCTCACCGCAACGAGATGTGGCTGTTGCTGCCCCTATTCGCCGCTCCCTCAGTCTGTCTCAACAACAACACGCTCGTTAATCACCTACGCCTACGCTGCTTGGGGCTTTGGCGACCATTTAATCTACACGGCAATATCTTCCACCTCCTGCATCCAGCAGGTGGTCAGCTCCCAGCCACGGTCTTCATACTGCACACATGCACAACCACAACCGTAGGAGAGAGTCACAACGCCTCAGTCATACTGCCTCCGCCACGATTACGACCATAAAACATCAAATCGACAACATTCACGTCACCATGCAATCACATGACCGTATCACGCCCACGCCACCCCCTCCACGGCGCAGTAGACAGTCGAGGAACCAAAACACCTCCCATCTGACGTACCTTCCCCCACAAAAGTCGACCATCCGGTCCAGGAGCCACAAGTCAGAGATTACAACAACAAAAGGAGACCACTACGCCCCCAGAAGCCCCACTCCGTAACATAGACGCACAGGCGTCATCAACAGCAGAGATTTAACAGCAGGACTGATTACGGACCTCGCCACACCAATCTCCGAATCATCAAAATCTTCAAGAGATGTCAGACAATTTTGAGAGCACTGCTTTCGAGGGGTTTGAGCTCTCGAAGGCCACACCACCTCCCGAATTACCCACTCTAGAATGAACGAACGAATCCGGCCCCAAACAGAAAGAACAGACGAATCTGGCCACCAACAGAAAGAATGAACGAATCTGGCCCACAAAATTCGTCTCGTGTCCGGGGGTCATTAACCGTCACCTCTCGAAGGCCTAGAAGGCCTAGACGCGTCTTGGGCTCTCGAAATCGAGTTCACCGCAGGCCTCTCGCTTTTGTGAAGAGGCCCCGGAGGTTAGGTTCCAGAGGGTCTCGCGGACCTCTCGATTTCGTTTTGGGTTTTGCTGTTCTGGAGGGTAGTGCGGGGAGTCCTACTGCTCTCCACAATCCCTGTTCTCTCGAGAGCAGTGTGACAAGAGACCTGTTTCCCAACTCTCCCCCACTTTCGCACACTCACCCCACAAACCCCATAAGACAAGGCAAATGATTCAGTCATTTCCAGCAGCATTTTCTAAATGCTAAGAATCAAGCACAAGCACCATCATCAGAGTCAACCATGAAGTGGGGAGATAGGCCACCTCGTTGAGACTGCTGTCGGCCGACACCATAGCCACCGCCATAGCCTCCGCTGGCTCCATCCGCTACCCCGGCAACGCCATAACCTCCCCCTGACGCAGCAGATCCTCCACTAGGAGCTACACCATAATCGCCTGCTCGGCCCCATGTGCCCTGGTCCATGGCGTAGCCCGACCCTCCGTACATCTCGCCGTAGTTTCCATAGCTACTCCCGCCGCCTGCAGATCCACCATACCCGCCTGAGGTACCTACGCCATCCAGCCATCAAACCTCCCACGATCAGCGTCACAACAGGAACAGCATAACACAACATACACCCGTCAAAGCATAACACTTCAAAAGACTCGAGAGCTCATTCGTCAGAAGAGTGCGGGACACTTCATATACACACACACACTAAATCAACCCACATAATAAATCAACCCATGACGAAACGAAGGTCGCAGACTATAAATAAATTCCCACATGGATGGGGGACACCTACTCACCCACCCATAGGAAAAGGCTGCACATCCAAACCATACGTGAAACCCAGAACGAAACAACGATCACTCCAAATGCATCTCGCTCTGGCAAAAGCTTGTCATCATCATATCATCAAGCCATGAGTGGGAAGAGCGACAACAGAGCAGAGCTCACACTGAATGCATCTCGCTGTCGCAACAGGTTCTCATCATCACATCATCAAGACGGAATTGGGGAACAGTGACAACAGAGATTCAAAGCCCTGCAGATCCAAACCATACACGAATCCGAGAACGAAACAAAGATCATCATTCCGGATGCATCTCGCTCTTGCAAGAGGTTCTCATCCATCAAGCCAGGATTGGGGAAGAGCCGACAGCAGAGGCAGGCCACACTGAATGCATCTCGCTGTTACAACGGGTTCTCATTGTCGTATCATCAAGACAGAATTGGGAAACAGTGAAAACAGAGATTTAGTACCGACTCGACAGCGAGTCTCGTGGATGCAAGACGGCTTCCTGTAAAAAATACCAACTCGATAGCGAGTCTCCTGGATGCTAGCCGGCTTCCTTACACCAGTTAAGAAGAAGAAAAGGGAAGCCGGACCGGCAACAAACGAACAAAGACACGGGTTGAGTCGAAGCACGACGGACGAGAGCTATTGTCAAGCCAAGCAAACGAGACGAGGAATCGTCAGGGCATATATGCGCAGATAGAGTGATTTCAAGGCATACGCACCTCCACTGGCATATCCACCACTCGACCTGGCGGCAGCATATTGAGCGCCAGCACCGGCAGCTCCATAGCCTTGGTCATTCGTGGCATATCCTCCACCTCCATATCCACCGCTCTGGCCATACCCACTAGCAGCCGCGGCAGATCCAACGGCGGAAGGCCCGCTGCCCGTTCCCCATCCTTGCCCTGCATTGCCATAACCTGCCACTGTGGCATTGTTAGCTGGGTAGCCGGCCGAATTAGCGCCTCCAGCATAGCCCGCGCCTGCACCGCTTCCCCAAGTGCTTCGTGCAGCACCGCCCCCCGCTCCAACGGCACCTTGCCCAACGTACCCCGCATTGCCGCCAGGGCCGTAAGCCGCATTCCCCCCTCCGTACCCAGCTGCATTTCCGCCAGCAGGGTAGCCTCCTGCTGCCGCATACCCAGCACCTTGACTGGCATATCCCCCTGCGTACGCACCACCACCATACCCACCACCGCCAAGCGACCCATTAAGCCCGCCTCCATAGCCTTGCCCTCCTGCATAGCCCCCGCCAGCCGCATAGCCACTGTTTCCACCATAGCCATATCCACCTCGACCGCCCGGACCAGGATATCCTCGATCGCCCCTGCCACCGCCGTACGGGCCCGGTCCGTAGCCACCATAACCTGCACCGAATCCACGCCCACCGAAGCCTCCTCTCCCACCTCCGGCACCACTGGGATTCATCTCTTTAGGAACCGCACGCTTCACTTCTACCTGAGAGACACAATCCAGTGATCAATCAACAGCCAATGCAGTGGTCAATCAACAACAGGTAACCAATCCAGACGTCGAATTAATCACAGCCACCATACACACACCTCGACTAAGACTCGCACGACCACAGATCCAACACAGAAAACCAGACCCTCAAAGCCGCACAACCATAGCCTTGACAACGTAAAAGCCACCGGGCAGACGGAAAAACTACACTCATATCAACCATGGTTCAGTACACTGCAAACTCGTAGAATATAAACGATATATAAAAAAAAACGATGGACACTTTTTCAAATACGCTCCGTCGTTCTAGGCCCTACCGTCTTCACCCGAATAGAACGCCCGGTAATTATCGCCGTATCTGGGCTGAAAGTTGTGCCAAATACAGCTATAATGACCGGGCGTTCTATTCGGGTGAAGACGGTAGGATGGGCCGATCAGATTAGAGAATTGGGTGAAACAGGTACAGCGAATAGAATTCAGATATAGGGCAGCCGTACATGTAGGGTATATACACAGCATATTATTTATACTAAAACCACAAAGGATATGCATACACATACACAAACCATACATATACTGTCACAGATGCCTCCATAGCGCATTCATTCATTCGTGTCTGAGAAATTG